ACGTTGGTAGCTGTTAAGTTCCAACTGTAATGTTCTCAAACCAGCGTGGCTCACTATATATACTGAAAAGAAAAGAAACAAGAAAGGCAGATGTCAAGAAGTTCTATTAATAACTGCCCAGCACTATCCACAATGGAGCTAGGTGAGAGGCACTAAAACTTGATTCACATGACCCCTGCTGTCATTTCAAGCAATCAGTCCAACTCTTTAAAAAAGCTTATCACTAACACTCTCCCCAACTGAGAGCTTGCAAATGTCATTCCCAAGAAAACTTGTCAGATCACTACATGGAACCTCTACATTCCAGGTGCATTAGCTTTCAACTTTTTAATGTTAAAAATAAAGAGAAGGAACTTCTCTGGTGGCGCAGGGGTTAAGAATCCGCCTGCCAATGCAGGGGACACGGCTTCGAGCCCTGGTCCAGGAAGATCCCACATGCCGCAGAGCAACTAAGCTCGTGCACCACAACTACTGGTTCTGTGCTCTAGACCCTGCAAGCCACAACTACTGAACCTGCGTGCCACAACTACTGAAGCCCACGTACTCTAGGGCCCATGCTCCACAACAAGAGAAGCCACCGCAATGAGAAGCCCGCGCACCGCAGTGAAGAGTAGCTCCCGCTCGTCCCAACTAGAGAAAGCCCGCACACAGCAACGAAGACCCAACGCAGCCACAGATAGATAGATAGATAGATAAAATGTATTTTAAAAGTAATTAAATAAATAAAGGATAATTGTTTCTACCCCAAAATGGCAGTTGCCAGGTTAAGGTCACTACAGCATGGTGACCAGAACACTGGCTTTGCAGTTATCCAGACCTAGGTTCATAACCTAGTTCTGCCACTTAAATAAATGTGTAACCTTAGGCAAGTCAATTCAATTCTATAACTTCATATACAAAAAAGGCAAGATAGATAACTTCTCCATAAAGGATTAAATGAGATAACCTAGTACCTAGGACCCAACACTTAAAAAGAAGGTGGAAGGGCTTCCCGGGTGGCACAGTGGTTGAGAGTCCGCCTGCTGATGCAGGGGACACGGGTTCGTGCCCCGGTCTGGGAAGATCCCACATGCCACGGAGCAGCTGGGCCCGTGAGCCATGGCCGCTGAGCCTGCGCGTCCGGAGCCTGTGCTCCGCAACGGGAGAGGCCACAACAGTGAGAGGCCCGTGTACCACAAAAAAAAAAAAAAGAAGGTGGAAAATTAATGATACATATATATAAATAAATACATATACAGTCATATATATATATGATACCTATATGATAATTATATTATCATATAAACGATACATATATACACGGTCTGAACTCTTGATTTTATGATGTAATAATCAACTGGTTGAATCTGGTTATCTGAACCAACTAAAATATTGATTCAGTTCAGCTTAGTTCAGAGACAACAAGATATTCTAGTTCAACTGTTCTAAAAAATGTTGAGGGTTAGTCCTAGTTCAAAGTGTTTCACTTTTTTTTTTTTTTTTTGGCTGCATTGGGTCTTCATTGCTGTACACAGGTTTTCTCTAGTTGTGGCAAGCGGGGGCTACTCTTCATTGCGGTGGCTTCTCTTGTTGCGGAGCAGGGGCTCTAGGTGCGCAGGCTTCGGCAGTTGTGGCTCACGAGCTCCAGAGTGCAGGCTCAGTAGTTGTGGTGCATGGGCTTAGTTGCTCCGTGGCTTGTGGGATCTTCCCGGACTAGGGCTTAAACCCATGTCCCCTGCATTGGTAGGCGGATTCTTAACCACTGCGCCACCAGGGAAACCCAAAGTGTTTCACATTTTTTAAAAGTATGTATGTATGTATGTGTGTGTATATTTACATGTATGTGTGTGTGTGTGTGTGTGTGTATATTTGGCTAACTTCAGAATTTCATCTCACACACACACACATACAGGGACTTCATTTGTGGTTCAGTCTATAGATTTTTGTTCACAGGTCTGCTTACTACAATGGGTTCCTTGAGAGCAGGGAACAAGTCTGTATTGCTCATCTTTTTATATACCCAGCACCAGTACAGGCCCTGGCACATACCAATCGTTCAGTAAATATTCATGGACTCGAATTTTCAGAAAAGCCACCAAGAAACTCGCTAGCTTTAGGATTCAGGAGGGCTCAGCTTGGCAAAGGGAATGCAATTTCCCCCGCTATAGATACTTGGCAGGTTTTCTTTTTTTATTTTCAGATAATGACTAAACAAGCCACACACTGGATATCGCAACAGTAAAGTTTTCACAAACAAAACTAAAATGGAAAACTCTAGAAATAGTAGCATTCCAGTGTAGAGGAAAGAAAACCAATTTTGGAATCATGCAAATTTTGGGTTTAAATGCTAGCTCCACCACTTCACAGATATGTAAAGATTAACTTGGGTCCAATCACACATATCACCTCTGAGACCCAGTTTCTACATCTGAAAAAATGGGAATAATAATACCTATCTCATAGGGTTGTCACAAAGCTAATATATGTGAAGCCCCAAGTACAATTGGTGGTGATTTTTTTTAACAGTTTTATTGAGGTGAATGAGTGATTTTTATTTTTTAAGTCTTTACTATTCCTTTTCCCCTCTCACAGGTGGCAGAAACTATGCCTAAAGGGAACTACAGTACTATCTTTACTCCTGCTTTTCAGAAGGTACACTAATTCAGCCATATATCAATAGATAGGCTAACTGGCTAAAGATGCAACTGTTCATGGGTCCAATGTGGTAATTTTAAAGGAGGCCCTTTCATGCAACTCCAGGGCCCCAGCAAAGTCAACCAGGCTCTTTGGGTAGCCTGTTCCTTCTCTTCTTAACATGGGCTTGCTGAGAGGCATGCAATGTGAAGCAAAAGTCATCTTTGTGATAAACCTAAGATGTAGCATATAAACAACAGGCCTTCTTTGAAAAAGCCCATACCCAAATTAAATCTCAATCACTAAGTTTTAGCACTTGTTTGGATCCTGGAGGTAGGGAGGAGGAACACTAGTGTTAAAATAATATGTAAAACCAAGGGGTAGAGAGAAAGGAAGTCTTCTGGGTTCATATACATATGTTTACTTTCCATTCACAAATGGAACAAAATAGAGCAATGATTTGCTAATCCCAATCAGCTGAGCACATATTTCACTTTACTGTGCTGCATACTCTATCATAAACTAAAGAAAATGAAAACCTAAGTAAATGAAACTCCCAAATACACCTCTGAAGACAATATCTGTTCCATTCACATTTCAGTGAATATCATTCAATATTTCACCTTATTTCAAGGTCCAATCAAGGCAAAGTTTACATTTTTTCTCTTAAATGATTTTCACTTGGAGAGATGAGTCAAAGAAGAACTTTTAACACGTTTGGGTTTCCATTTTCAACAAGGTAGGAACCCATATTTCCTCCCACTCACCCCACCTCCAGAGAATTCACAATACTGTTACTAAAATATATTGAATAATGCCTTCCATCAGTCAATTGCTTTTAACTGAATGCAATAAAAATAATCTGCTCGTCCAGACCTCATTAACAACTACAATTCTTCGCCTGCTTAAATTTCTGGAAAAAAAAACTGGATCAGTCCACTAAAAAGCAAACTGTAACATTCAAGTAAGCATCTTCAGAGAAATAGAGACAAAGATGTACACTATTACTATAATGCAAATATCCATTATTTAGCACCAAGGAGAACACATGCAATAATGTCTGCTATTGCAAGAACATTTTTGTTAAAGATACATCACATGCAGGGAAGCCGCTTTTCCAAGGATAAACATACATTACCCTGCAGCATCGCTGAAACACCCAATCCCTGGACCCTAAGAGTTGTAACCTAAGTTTTTATACTGACCCTAAGACAGCTGGATCTTACATTAAATTCACTCTCTAGTTAACTGTGTTAGTGAGGTTCCAGCACAGTTTTCTAAAGAAAGCAATCTGAATCAATAACCACACCAATGCTGCTCAGAATGTTTGCTCATAAGTAAATAAAAAGCATGATCCCAATATGAAGGAAACTCTTCTCCTTCCTGGCCCCCCCAGCTCCACTTAAAGACTGTAAACATGAATAGAAAGATAACCTTGAGAACAGTAAACTCACCCACACCATCAATAATATCCCTCTAATTCATTTCCTGATTCTACAGTGTTTTCCTAAAACAGGGCAGTCTCAACAGGATGCCAGGAATTCAATATTGCTTTTTAAAGATATATCAAACTGTCTGGAATATACAGTGATGAAAACTGAATACTGCTACTGAAACCATACTAAATTAAATTCATGCTTTCTCTAAACAGAGCTTCCCCAATAAAGTCACAATGTTTTCTGCCTTGGCTCTCTTACAATCCATCCCAACAAGTGAGGTCAGTCCAGCTGCACTCCTGCTAATAGCTTTTTTCTGGAGCAACCCCTCCCACACCCCAAAAGAGTTTTACTTTTATCTGTGGAATTCTCTGCCAGCCTCGGCCTGGAAAACTGGGTGGACCCTAAGGACAGGTGTGGGAGGTGGCCCAAACTGATAGTTATTGCCAGCATAAAGCTGTGATCTTTATAAGCTTCAATTTGAGGCTTTGTACCATTAGTGATTCTTTCTCCACTCCTTTATGGAAGGAGGGAGAGAAAGCAAGCCAAAAAGATGAGTTTCAAAATAGAAAAATCACCACTTGAATTATGAAATCCTCCCAACTCAACAAAGAACTGTTGAAAGTAGCCAAATGGAAAATGTCAAGGTTGTTTGGGTACATGCACAGCTATTAAACATGAGAATCACAGCTTCAAGGTGGGGGTTGGGGGGATAAAAAGCAGGAGCAGAAAAAGAGGAGCACAACAGGGCCCATCCAAAGACCCATTTGCTCAGAAGGGCCCCTCCTGGCATGAACTCCTCCATGTGGGGCACCCAGGCTGGAGGAAAGCAGAGGGTTACACAGAACATTCAGCAGACTTAACATTGGATTAAACACACTACTGCAAGTTTCAACAAATGTTCATGGTATACGTAAAAAACACATTTACAACAAGAAAGAAGAGAGGCACCTGGAGACATCTGACACTGGGCATGCTCTGCAGGCAACTCAGTGCGCACATGCTCTCTACCAGGTTGGCGCAGCCTAGCCACAAAGACCTTGGCACAGAACACTGCAGGATGACAAAAAGGAAGGAAGAGAAGAAGAAGCAGTTAGAGGCCGCAACAAATCACTCCTTCACACAGGCAACTTGAATGTTAGTTGGGCGGGGGGTGCACCCTTGGCAGCTTGGAGGTCAGGGGTGGTAGTCCAACAAAACTTACTGAAACCTTGGGAGAGGGCCCACTTTCTGTCCTACGGAAAGGAGGTTTCTGCTGCCAACCACTAACTCCTCAGGATACAGTGAACAGAATCAAGAGGGAGAGAAAGAATGTTTAAATGAAAACCACTAAAGGGAACTGTAAAGTTTGAGTGCAAAACAAGATTATGGTGAGATCGACACTCTAGCTTCATAAAAGTAGTGGGTTTTGGTCTATGTCATGTAATTATAATTGCTATCATTACATCACCTACCATGTGCCAGGCACTTTAAATGTGTTCTCTAATTCCCACACCACAGCGTCAGGAAACTGAGGCTCAGAGGTAAGTCATTTGCACAAGGACAAACAGCAAGGGAGGGGAGAGTCAGAATTTCAAACCTTGATGGCTGCTATTAAAACCCACATTCATTCCACAAGACTATGATGCCTCTATTATCATTGATCACCTGAAATTTTATCATCTGGGTACAGTTTTGCACATCCCTAAATAAAATTACAGGAGACCTAGAGACATAAGGCAAAAAGAACAAGAAAGATAAGCAACAGACTGATTGATAGATACAGAAAATAAAAGAGCTGATAAAAACGCATCTGATTTTGAGTGTCATCCATATCTCTGCCTTCCCAAAGGAAAAAACTTTAGAATAATCATGATTTTCATTTTGGACTTTGCTTACAAAGTTCATTTGACACAAGTAAGAATTAAAAGCTTCTTTCATTTACCCATTCCCATTCCTCTTTCAAGAGCTTGCTGGTTTTAAGGGAATTAAGAAAAAAAGTAAAATATAAACATATGCATTATGGCTAGTATTTTTTAAACCATTAGATTATTTATGGTATTCAACAAGTACTTTTTCAGACCTAAGGTCAATTAATTTACTCTGGCAAAATCAATAATCATGCCAAAAAGAAAAAACAAACACAAAAAACAAACCTGAAGGTGGGTGTTTGGGTTCAACCAAAATACTGCAGAAGCCTCAGGCCCAACCTCATAAACTTGTTTATTCTAGCTATAATTAGGATGGTTAAATATACTCACTTTCCTGGGACAGTCCAGGTTTACACTTGTCCCAGCATAACTTTCACTCTCAAAGTGTTCTGGTTTGGTAGATAAATTCTATGGTTACCCCAGCTATAATATAAACAAAGTCCACTATGCTTGAAATCAGACCCGATTCCTTCCTATCCAGCATCTGTACTTTCTAGTTATATCTCACCTAGAATGTAACTAGAGTATTGAGATTATTTAGAAAAGGTATTTAAAGAACACAAAACCAGGGCTTCCCTGGTGGCGCAGTGGTTGAGAGTCCGCCTGCCGATGCAGGGGACACGGGTTCGTGCCCCGGTCCGGGAAGATCCCACATGCCGCAGAGCGGCTGGGCCCGTGAGCCATGGCTGCTGAGCCTGCGCGTCCAGA